TACGAGATCCTCTCGGAAACCTTGATGCTAAGTCCAAAAAATCTGAAACCTTCCGGAAAGTGTCTACTTTTGAATGCTCTACTCGACTATAGTATCAGATTTGAAATCTAAGATGGTCATGTATCCAACATTGTCCGCTTTCTCATGCCAATGACTTTTAAAATAATGACAGTTTGATTTTTACAAAAGTAGTACATTTTAATTATGTTTTAGATTAAAATATTTCGCACTAGTTGAGTCAAAAAAATCAAAATGAAGTTTCACACTTCAGTGCATGTGCTAGTGCTTGTAGCTGTAAGCAGCGTCGTCGTGGTTAGCGCTAATTCAATTCCCGGCAATGGTGTTCTTCAACCATCATTACACTACCAGCGTTACCGTCAAAGCGAATACAATAAACATCATCCATACTACCAGTGGTGGTATTACTGGATCCGCGATATTAAAAACGACCGTCACTTCGTCATAGCTTACGGTACTACATTGTGTAAAAACACCAACGTCAAATCCTGTGACTATGACGGTGCCGGCGTCAGTTTCGGACTAGTCGACAACAGGCAAAACCAAAGAATGCAAAAATACGAGTTCTACAATCGAAATGCATTCTCTGTCAATCAAGAATTCAATTTCAAAATTTATTCCAGCACGAATGAAACTCTTCATGAGATTCTACCACTTGAAAATGACAAGCTCAGAATCAGAGGAAACATGAAAAAGGAGAACATTAACAACGTATGGTTATGTGAGGGCTGCCCGAAAGATCTGGAAATTGAGTGGGACTTGACACTAACTAGAATCTATGGATGGTATGCACAAGATGTGTTTGAACTTCCTGATAGGTGGCTAGAAGGCCTTATCATGTGGAACACCTATTCTCATGCTGCTGAAATCGAAGGAAAAGTGAAAATTGGAGGTGCTGAGTTCATTGTGGAGAAGGGAAATACTACTAGAGCTTATGGTGATTCTAACTGGGGTGAAATGATGCCCTCCTCGCCACCAGAACAAAAGCCTAGCGCAAAATATGCATGGGGATGGTACTATCTAAACATTCCATCCGATGATAAGTCTCAAGAGCTCAGTATTATCGCTGGTACTGGTCTCAGTTATGCGGATGCACTCCTACGTACCATGGATGGCCGTTTCTGCGATATTCGTTTGGATGGAAAAACACATGTGGAACTAAGAATGATACAAGTCTGGGAATTGACATTTGATTCATGTAATGATGGAAACCTATATCGATTTGATGTGGAGCGTAGTAACTGGACTAATATTACCGACTCGTTCGGTAATGCCACTATACCACTTCGTCAACTCGTTACACTAGAAAGTGACAGTTATTTGATCACAATGGATTTTAATAGCATCATAACTAATTATAACCGATTACTGTTCCCCTTCACTGATTATGTGTTCTCAGATTTCGAAGGCCTAGGTGTATCGACAAATCTATTGATCATTGAAAAGAAAACTGGAAAGACTTTAAGAAACGAGACCGTGAAAAGTGGTGGATTAGAGTATGGATATCGATTTGATGTGGTTGTACCACCTCTTCCTAAATAAATAATTACTTCATTGTAACAAAATATTAGTGTAGCGGTCTCCAATGCTGTCTTCTTACTTGAAAATAAATCTATAGAATTTAATTGAATTGGAGAGTGTGTTTGCATTGGTTTTTCACTTTGCTATATCTCAACCGCAGAGAATAGTAGTATTTGATTTTGATTTTTGCTTACCACCAATATTATTTTCCATGTGTTTTAGTACCTCGCAGTAGAAATAAGAATTTCTCGCGAGTATATTTGAAATGTTTTTGAGATGTATCGGAAAGATGTGTGAAAGAAAGCGATGTATTGCAAGTGTGTAAATGATCTCTTCGATTAAATCAGCAATTCATTCGGTACTTTGAATCAGCTTAGATGCCACAAGAGGTGAGGCATGACCTGCTCTATTAGCGATCGTTATATTATTTCTTACCTATCAATGTATCATTCAGTTGCGACGCGTGTTTTACGCTAAACCGTATATAGCTCTAAAATCTCCTTCCTCTCTAAGCTTTTTCGGGATTAGGACACCAAGTCAGACGCTCAAGTATTTTAACGATTGAGTTGATTAAAATAAGAAAAAAATTTTTTTTTGAGTTTCCTTGTTTGATATTTTACATTAACGACGTAACCACCAGAGGTAGTAAATCGATTTCGGGTTGGGACTGTTTTTGTTAGAAAGGCCCTAATGAGTAGTGGAATACCCCAACTTGGTTCATCCCCATGATACTTTGTTGTTGAGATATCGAATTTTAGCGTCAGTTTTTGCCTTATAGAGCTTGGATTTCGAGCAAAATTCGAAAGTCGGATTTGTGATACTTTTAGCTTTAACCCTTTGATCCACTACAGCAAGATGACGATGCGTCGGATGAAAAAACTAATTATTTTCCAGTGTAAGCTGACACCATAAGCTAGCACTTGCTAATGATAAAAAATAATTTCATTTGGTCTAGACAAAGGTATAAGAGTTCCAAGTTTGCTTTACGTAATCATCTGTGGGACGTAAAGGGTTAACCTGTTCATTCTGTCTTCTTCTCAAACTTCCCTTATTGTATTTGCCCTTCTCTAGTCTGTTGATATTGTGCTGTCGTCTCTACGAACTTGAACTACACATCCTTTTACCGCTGTTATTGTTATTTTTATTCTCATTATTCTTTGATTCATCATTTAAATCATCTAAGTTTCTCTTATTATTGGAAGGAAGGAAGAATAACCCGCCTTTCGGCTACCTTGCGGTATAGGTTGCTGTTCGAAGACAGTTTCGTAAGTCCGATATCTTCCCTACAACTAATACTAGCTGTAGCTCTGGACAGAAGGTCAGCCTGACTCAGAGTTCTTCCATTCAATCGCTTGAGCTTCCCGTACACACTGACTAACCACATGCTAGCCACGAGGACTGTTGCATGTCACAACGTAGTCAGCATGCTATCGGATGGGTAATCCGAGGCAAACAACCGTTAATGACTTGCCCAGAGTCATTCCATGTCTGGTGGAGTCGAGGTTCGAACACAGTACCTTGGCGGTACGCGTCAAACAACTTAACCACACAGCCATAGCGGCTTAATCATTGGACTGATTATTTATATATGTACGTGTACAAAATAAGAAAAGTGTAAAAGAAAAGATTAAAGAAGAACAGTGTAGAACGGAAAATTCAATGTATGCATACACGAAACAAAAAGGAACTGAGATATTAGGAAGGCAGACCAACCTCTAAAAAACCTAACTGAAGTCTAACTAAGTGAAAAAGAGAGAAAAAAGACTTGGAAGGATCTGAGAATGAGAGCTAACTAAAGCAGTATCCTCTGGTGTCGAGTGAAGAATCCTTACACGAATAATATACCAAAATGTAACCTTGCGCTGCAAAAACGGTGAATGAACAAGTTCGATTTACTTTTGAAAACGTTGATTTTTGTTTCTGGAAAGCATCACAGATGACTAAGCAATGATAGCTATTGATAAACAATGGTTTACGAGAAAAAATTCACATTCTCACAAAAACAAC